GCCGCTGCACTCTAAACCCTAAACCCTAAACCCTAATCTCCAAACCCTAAACCCTAAACCCTTGGAAACACAGAATTGGGGTTTGGGGTTTGGCGGGGGCCTCCGAGACCCCCGGCGGCAGCTGTACGTACACCCGAAAACGGCAACTCTTACAGGGCTTAGGGTTTAGGGTTTAGGGTTTAGGGTTTAGGGTTTAGGGTTTAGGGTTGTGAGGCTGAAAGAGACAAAAGGACTTTTTGAATTGCTGAAAAGAAGTTCTTGATTTATTCAGCTCGAGGCTGCTGAGGTGTACGTACTGCTGGCGACTGCGCGCCGGCGCCGAAATGAAACGAAAAGAAAATAAAAATAAAAATAAAAACAAAAAATAAAAACTAAAATAAAATTAAAATTGATTTTAGAAACAAATGAAATGAGATTTGAATGCGAATTAGTTCTTTTTTCCTTTTTTCCGTTTCTTCCACTTGACCACTGCTGCGGCGAGGACTCGGCGGGGCTTGCTGCCCAGACCCCAAACCCTAAACCCTAAACCCTAAATCAGCGAATAGAGGATCCAAAAGGTTAAATTGGTCCTTTTGGTTGAAAGGGTTTATAAAAAAGGGGTCGGAGTTCTTAAGAACCCGTGGGCTGCTGCTGCAGCTGCTGCAGCTGCTGCCCCGCTGCCGACTGCGGGCGGCGAGGCCAGTGGTTCGGGGCCCCCTGGGGCCGTTTGAGCTTGAAATTTGGCGTAAAAGGCTCATTTTTTGTTTAGTTTTAATTATTTTAATTATTTGAGTTTAATTAGAATTAAAAACTGCGAAAAAAACCGGAAAAAAGGGGAAAAAGGGCCGCTGGGGACGCCGATCGCCCGGCGAGCGCTGGCCGGAGGGACCTCGGGGGGGCTGCGGGCTTTGGGGCCCTTTCGGAGGCTTTTCTGCGTCAAAAGTCTTCAAATTGGATTTAAATTTAACATTTTAATTATATTTAATTAATTTATTCGACAAAAGCGCGAAAAATAAGCCCTTTTCCGCGTAGACAGCGCAGCGCAGCGCAGCAGCAGCCGCAAAGGCACACCTGCTGCTGCTGCTGCCCCCAGAATGCAGCAGCACTTTCTTCTCTCCAGCTTCCGCCTTTCTTCTTTTCATCTTTTAAATCCTCTCGCCCCTCTTTTGCATTTCTTAAAGACCCGGGGGCTCAAGCAGCAGCAGCAGCAGACCTCCCCCCGCACTGCCTGGCCCGGCATGTGGTGGGGGAGTGGGAAATCCACGAGGGCCTCTGGCAGCCCTGTAGGCATCTCGAGGGGCAGCAGCAGCAGCAGCAGCAGCAGCAGCAGCAGCAGCAGCAGCAAGACCCTTTTTGCGGACACTTCACGCCCGACAGGCTCGGCTCCCACGGTCTGCTGCTGCTGCTGCTGCTGCTGCTGCTGATGCTGTTTATGCTGCTGGTGCTGCTGCTGATGGTGCTGTTGGCGGTGATGGTGGTGGTGCAAGTGCTGCTGCTGCTGCTGCTGCTGCTGCAACTGCTGCTGCTAGTGGTGGTAGTTCTGATGCTGCTGATGGCGCTGGTTGTGCTGCTGCTGCTGCTTGTGGTGCTGCTGAAGGTGCTGCTGCTTTTGCTGCTGCTGCCTATGATGGTGATGCTGGTTTTGCTGCTGCTGCTGTACTGCTGCTGCTTTTGGTGCTGCTGCTGCTGCTGCTGCTGATGCTGGTGGTGGTGCTGCTGCTGATCCTGCAGCTCGCGCTGCTGCTACTGGCGCCGTTGCTGGTTTTGTTGCTGCTGCTGCTGCTCATCCTGCTGCTCGCCTCCCCATCCTGCCGCTGGTGCTGCTGCTGCTGCTGCTGCTGCTGCAGCACTGTTGCTGCTGTTGCTGCTGCTGGCCCTTCTGCTTCTCCTGTTGCTGCTGCTGCCTTTCCGTGTGCTGCTGTTTCTGCGGCTCGCTTTCCCCCGTTACCCCGCGCCGCTGCAGCAGCAGCAGCAGCAGCAGCAGCAGCAGCAGCAGCAGCAGCAGCAGGTTGTGTGTGTGTCTGCAGGCCCCTTGAGTCCGCCAAAAGTGTCTGAGAACTTCAAAGAGACAAAAAAGTTTAAAATAAAATTAAAAGAAGACTTTACTGCAGCAGCAGCAAATGGAGCAGTGGGCCACTGGACCATGGTCTACGACGAGGGGCTGCAGCTGCAGCTGCAGCTCCCGCAGCAGCAGCAGCAGCAGCAGCAGCAGCAGCAGCAGCAGCAGCAGCAGCAGGGGGTTCGAGAAATAGTTTATTTTTCTTTTTTCAAATATGAAATTCAAAAAGATAATCCAAAACTCTCCAGCAGCTTTTGCCACACTCTTATGGTTGGCTGGGCCCACGCAACAGAAGACCCCGAGCAGCAGCAAAGTGACACACACGCGTTTGCTGCTGCTGCTGCTGCTGCTGCTGCTGCTGCTGCTGCTGCTGCTGCTGCTGCTGTTGCTGCTGCTGCTGCTGATGGTGATGATGGTGTGCGCCTGATGATGCTGCAGCTGGTGCTGCCGATGATGCACCTAATAATGATGAAGACGCAGCTGCCGCTGCTGCTGCTGCTGCTGCTGCTGCTGCTGCACCCTCACGAGTTTGATAATGCTGCTGCTGCTGCTGCTGCTGCTTTTGCCGCTGCTGCTGCTAAATGCTTTTGTCATTTGTCTTGCTGCTTCTGCCCTCCATCCATTTACCTTTCCACTTCTTCTTATCTTTTGGCTAGCAGTCTGCCACAGCAGCAGCAGCAGCAGCAGCAGCAGCAGCAGCAGGCAAAACTTTACCTCTGCGGTTTTCTTGCTGCAGCAGACTCTCTAGCCCCAGCGGACCAATCACGCACACCTGAGGGGGGCCCCCAGGGGGCCCCTGCAGGGGGGCCCCCAAAGGTGGTGCTGGTGGGCAACGAAGGTGGGAGAGGCCCTGGAGAGACCCACAAATTGGGTACCAACAATTCGAAAGAGTCCAGTGGACCTGCAGTGGTTACCGAGGCCCCGAGTGCCGGATATTTTGAAAGTGGCTGTGAGGCCGCAGCGGCAGCAGGGTGAAACCCTAAACCCTAAACCCTAAACCCTAAACCCTAAACCCTAGGCGCTGGTCTAAACCCTAGTTGGGGACCCTGGGACCTGGTGCGCCCGGACGCAGCGGGGAAGGGCCTGCTTCCCGCAGCCAGACCCCCCCAAACCCTAAACTCTAAACGCTAAACCCTAAACCCTAAACCCTAAACCCTAAACCTCAAACCCTAAACCCTAAACCCTTGTTGCGGCTGCAGGCAAGGAGCCTTCCAACACTATAGTGTTTCGAGGCCGCCGTCTGCGGAAGCTAGCAGAGCTAATGGCTTCCTTGGGGCCCCCCGGGGGGCCCCCAGGGGGGCCCCCCTTGGGGGGCCCCCTGGGGGGCCCCCCGGGGGGGCCCCCCGGGGGGGCCCCCAGAGGCACTGCAGAAGAAGAAGAGGCCCCTTGGAAATATATTTCAGACTTTGATTGGACAAATCCAGATCACGTTTTTATGCGGGTTAGAATAATAAAAAATAATTTTAAAATTAAAATTAATAATTTTAAAATTAAAATTAAGTTTTTATAAAAGGGTTTTTGTTTTAAATGATTTGAAATTGAAATAGTTTTGTTTTGAGGGGTTTGAAATCAAAAAGTTCTTTCGCGTTTTCTTCCTTAGTGGGTGGTTTTTATTCTTATTTATTTTAATTATTTATTTTTTGATTTAATTAATTAATTAATCAATCGATTAATTAATTAATTAATTAATTAATTAATTAATTAATTAATTAAATTTATTTACTTTTATTTATTCCATGATTTGTTTTTACTTGTGTTATTTCATTCCAGTTTGGCGCTGCTGCCTTTATGCTTTTTATTTTCATCACAATTATTTTTAAGAGTATTTTTTTCTATTTACATTTATATTTATATTTATATTTATATTTATATTTATATTTATATTTATATTTATATTTATATTTATATTTACATTTATATTTATATTTATACTTATATTTATACTTATATATATATTTATACTTATACTTATATTTATACTTATATTTATTTCGTGATTATATTTATATTTAATTGGTAATTATATTTATTTCATATTTACATATGCATGGCCATCTGTTGCTGCAGCCAAGCACCTGCCAGTGCTCCTGTGCCACTTTAGGGTTTAGGGTTTAGGGTTTAGGTTTGAGGGTTTAGGGTTTAGGTTTGAGGGTTTAGGGTTTAGGGTTGAGGGCTGCGGGTTTAGGGGGCTAGGGTTTACGGGGTTTACGGTTTAGGGTGTGGGGTTTAGTGTTTAGGGTTTAGGGTTTAGGGTTTAGGGTTTAGGGTTTAGGGTTTGCTGCAGCTGGGGCGGAGGCAAAGCGCAGTTCCCTCGGCTCCAGATCAGGGCGACTGCGGCTCTTGTTATGCCATAACAAGCAGCACTGTTTTGACTTCAAGGTAAAATAAATAAACAAATAAATAAATAAATAAATAAATAAATAAATAAATAAATAAATAAGTAAATAATAATTCAATCAATTAATTTGTATTTAATGGAGAAAACGGCGGAGGCGCGGCGTTGCTGCAGCTGCAGAAAAAACCAGCGCAGCAGCAGCAGCAGCAGCAGCAGCAACAGCAGCAGCAGCAGCAGCAGCAGCAGCAGCAGGATGTTTTGTATGTTTGTTTTATCAGGCTTTGGATTCGCTACGCCCAACATGATGACATCTTTGGAAAGGTCCACGTCAATGCTCTTCAAGTAAGCAGCAGCTAGCTACAGCTAGCTACAGCTAGCTACAGCTAGCTACAGCTAGCCACAGCTAGCCACAGCCAGCCACAGCTAGCTGCAGCTGGCCACAGCTAGCTACACCTAGCCAGCCACAGCTAGCTGCAGCTGGCCACAGCTAGCTACACCTAGCCAGCCACAGCTAGCTGCAGCTAGCTGCAGCTAGCTACAGGTAGCTAGCCAAAGCTAGTTACAGCTAGCTACAGCTAGCTACAGCTAGCCACAGCTAGCCACAGCTAGCTATAGCTAACCACAGTTAGGTGAAGCTAGCTACAGCTAGCTATAGCTAACCACAGCTAGCTACAGCAAGCCATAGCTAGCTGTAGCCTGCTACAGCTCGCTGTAGCTAGCTACGTCTAGCGACAGCCAGCTACCGCTAGCCACAGCTAGCTACACCTAGCCAGCCACCCTGCTAGCTAGCTGTGGCCAGCTAGCTGTGGCTAGCTAGCCACAGCTAGCTAGCCACAGCTAGCTAACCAAAGCTAGCCGCAGCAGCCTGAAGTCCTTCACAGCTAGCTGCCGGCAGCAGCAAAGTGCTGCTGCAGTAACTTGCTGCAGCAAGCTGCTGCAGCAAGCTGCTGCAGTGCCCCAGGTGTCTGTACACCCCACGGCGCTGCAGCAACTTCACCGCTGCTCCTGCCTTAATATTACATTTATTTATTTATTTATTTATTTATTTATTTATTATTTATTATTTATTTATTTATTTATTTATTTATTTATTTATTTATTTATTTATTTATTTGTTATTTGTTTTCAGGGCACTGCATGCAATGTGTACAACCAGGGCTGCTCCGGGGGTTATGTTTTTTTGGCTTTGAAGTTTGGCAGCGAAGAAGGGTTTAGAAGTCAAGAGTGTTTAGAAGACTACAACAAAACCCTAACTCAAACCGTAAACCCTAAACCCTAAACCCTAAACCCTAAACCCTAAACCCTAGGAGCTGCGTGCGCAGAGTGGAGGAGCCTGCGCTCTTTTTTCCGCTGCAAGCGGCAGCTCCCCGTTCGCCTCCAAACCCTAAACCCTAAACCCTAAACCCTAAACCCTAAACCCTAAGCCCTCGCCTTCAAACCCTAAACCGTAAACCCTAAACCCTTGCCTCTGAACCCAACCCTCGCGGCTAAACCCTAGACCCTCACCACCCGCCCCCGTCGCTAAACCCCGAACCCTCGCCCCTAAACCCCAAACCCTAAACCCTAAACCCTAAACCCTAAACCCTAGCCTTCCAGGCGGCCTCAGGAGCTGCCGTTTTCCGCCTTTCGCCTCCCAACTCCTTCTCCCTTTCCCTGTCTCGAAAAGAAAGAACAAAACCCCAAAAGAAAAGAAAAAAAAAGAAAACTTGATTTGAACTTTTGGCTGCGACGCAGCGGGGGGCCCCCCAGCTCCCGCTGCTGCTGCAGCAGTGCCACGACCTGGGCGGCCAACTCGGCGCTGCAGTCTATGGCTGCGGGGGGCCCCCCCCCCACTTGGGCCTTCCGAAGTCTTGTGAAAAAAAAATAAAAGTTTCCAAATGGTATTATGTTGGGGGCCCCTTCGGGGCCTCTTCTGCTGCGCAGATGCAGCGCGAAATTTGGCTCAAGGGGCCCCTCGCAGTCTCCATTGAACCCCCACGTGAGCCAACTTCCAATGCATGCATGCAGTTGCATGCATGCATGCATGCATGCATGCATGCATGCATGCATGCATGCATGCATGCATGCATGCATGCAGTTGCATGCAGTTGCATGCAAGTTGCATGCAAGTGGGAACAGGAAAGAATGATGTCGTATAAGTGTTTATGAAAATGGAGATAATTAAATGCAAATAAATTACAAGTCTTTGAAAGTGGAAAAAGACAGAAGCGCCATTTTATTTATTTGCGGGTGCATGCGCATGCAAGGCTGCTCTGGAAATGTGAATTTGTTTTTGAATGCGAATACAAAAGTAAATGCGAATATAAATGCAAATGCAAATAAATGCAAATAAATGTAAATGAAAACGAACAAAAATTACAGAAATAAATGCAAGGATTCAAGGCAGATTCAAAGTGCTTTTTGAAACTTCGGAATTGGCGTCAAAAGTGGCTTTTTGCGAAAAATGAACCTTTTGCTTCTTTCTGCTGTTTTTTTTCTTCTAAAAACACAAATAATGATAAATAATCAAATAATAATTGAATAATTATTTATTCAAAAATAAAAATGGCGAAATTTGCAAGGAATTTGAAAGGCGCAGTTGACAGCGCTGCGGTGTACGTACACCGGAGAGTATTGACTGGATACTGGATTTTCAGTTTTTTTCATTTTTTTTCATTTTTTGTTTTTTCTTTCGCTTTAACTTCTCCATTTTTGATTTTTGGACACTTCTTTGGCTTATTTTTGATTTATTTTCGATATTTTGAACTATTTTCCACTTTTTTGCGATCCATTTTCGACCTTTTTGCTTCTCAGCTTCTTTCTCTTCTTACCGTGGGGGAGTGTTCAAAGAGCCTTACACCAGCATTCGGCAAAAGGGCAAAAACTGGACTTGGGAAAAGGCGAGTGTTTTTTGTTTTAATTTTAATTTTAAATTAATTTTAGTTTAAAATTAAAATTAAAATTTAAATTAACTTCAAGCTTAAATTCTTGTTTTCTACTTTGAGGCTTTTTAGTTCTTTCCTTCTTTTGCCCCCTCGCTGCATGCGAGAAAGCAGCTGCGTCCGATGCACTTACTTGCTGCTGCTGCAGCAGCAGCTGCTGCTGCTGCTGCTGCTACTGTTGCTGCTGCTGCTGCTGCTGCTACTGTTGCTGCAGCGGCAGCTGCTGCTGCAAGACACGCACGCAAACAACTAATTCTTCCGACCGCCGACACTCATTTGCTATCCCTGCTTCTGCTGCTGCTGCTGCCCCCCTGCTGCTGCTGCTGCTGCTGCTGCTGCTGCTGCAGGTGGACCACGCAGTGGTGGTGGTGGGGTGGGGTTGGGAGCGGGAGGGGCCCCTCTGGATACCCTTTTGGAAAATTCGAAACTCTTGGGGCCCCTCTTGGGGAGAAAAAGGTTTTGGAAAAGTCTTGAGGGGCCTCAACGAAATTGCAATTGAAAGAGTTGCTGTTGCTGCAGAAGTCCTGCTCTTCGAAGGCAACACCCTCGTCCAGCCCCGCAGCAGCAGCAGCAGCAGCAGCAGCAGCAGCAGCAGCAGCAGCAGCAGCAGCGGCAGCAGCAGCAGCAGCAGCGGTAGTAGTGGGGCTACGGGAAGTGGTTCTAGTGAGGAAAGTGAAGAAAAGGAAAAGATAAAGAGTTGGGAAAAATCCCTAAAGAGCCACAGCAGCAGCAGCAGCAGCAGCAGCAGCAGCAGCAGCAGCAGCAGCAGCAGCAGCTCGCTGGAGGCGCTCATTGCAGAGGCCTCCGTGGGGGAGCCGCGCAGCAGCAAAAGCAGCAAAGGCGGAAGCAAAAAGGACAAAAGCAATTATTATAATTTCACTTTTAATGAAACTAAAGATGAAGAATTAATTAACTTTTCAAAAGAATTAAAAACCCTTTTAAAAGACCCATACACTCCAAATCCCTCCTTTACGGGTCTGCAGCAAATTTCGCTGCATCAAGCAGCAGCAGCTGCCCAGCAGCAGCAGCAGCACAGCAGCAGCAGCAGCAGCAGCAGCAGCAGCAGCAGCACGGCAGCACCAACAACAGTAAGTTGATTAGTAAGTGGCTCAAGAAGCAAAAAGTGCTTCAAATATAATTTAAAAGAAAACCCCCATATCTGCCTCCCAAAGAAAACCCCAAGAGGCCTCAGGGGCCCCCTAGGGGCCCCCTAGGGGCCCCCTAGGGGCCCCCGTAGGGGCCTCCTCAAGGGCCCCCCTGGGGGCCCCCTTAGGGGCCCCCTTAAAGGTCCCCGTAGGGGCCTCCTTAGGGGCCCCCAGGGGTCCCCTAGGGGGGCCCCCCTGGGGCCCCTACGGTGTCCCCTAGGGGGGCCCCCGTAGGGGCCCCCCGTAGGGGCCCCCGGGGGCCCCTTGGGGGCTGTGGAGCTCATAAGGATTTCATGAGGGGCCCCTGGGGGCCCCCCAGATTTGGATAAGGTAAAGAGCTCCTTAAAGAGCCCCTCAGGTTCCATTAAGGCCAATTTTTAAACCCTAGAGGGCCCCCTTGGGGGCCCCCAGGGGCCCCAGGGGGGCCCCCAAGAAGGGGGCTTCTTGGGAGCCCCCAGGGGCCCCTGGGGCCCCCTTGGGGGGCCCCCAGGGGCCCAATGCGTTTTATTTTGCTGCTGCAGCAGTGCAGCAGAAGCAGCGTGCTGCAGCAAAGCTGCCAGGAGGCGAATTGGCCTCGAGTTGATTTGTTTAAAATAAATTTATTTAAATTTGAATTTTAAAATTAAAAAGGGCCCTAATGGGTCTTCAAAACTCTTTTAAAGGGCCTTTTCAACAGAAGATCCCTGGGGGCCCCCAACTAGTAAAAAGTCCTTTAGGGGCCCCTCTTTAATATATATGAGGGGCCCCCGGGGGCCCCCAGGGGGCCCCCTGGGGGCCCCCGGGGGCCCCCAGGGGCCCCTCGCAAGCCCCGTACGTACAGCGCAGTGCTGCTTGCTGCTGGGGTGTATGTACAGCAGGAGTTGAGAACAGCGCGTGGATGAGAAGAGTAAAAAAATGAAATTAAAAGTTTGAAAAGATTAAAAGATTTAAATTTGAATTTTGGAATTAAAAGCCTTTTGTGTGGCTGCAGAAGGACACATGCGCAGCGGCTGCAGCAGGCAGGGGCCCCTGATTGGCTGTGTGGAGGCGCTGCGAGGGTTTGAGTTTGGAATTTCGATTAAGTTGAATTAAATTGAATTAAATTGAATTAAATTGAATTAAGAATTGAAAAACTGAAATTATGAATTCAAAATTGCGAAAATAAGTCAAAGATTTCGTTTAAAAACTCCAATTTGTCCACTCTGGCGCACTCCGCACAGCCACCAGGGTCTTCTGCGTGTCAAGAGTGCTTTCTGGCGAAGTTAAAACAAATTTGCAAAAATTAAAACTTTTAAATTTGATTGGAAAGTCTGGAAGTGGAGAGCGGCAAAGATTGAGCGGCCTTTTGGGGTGTATCGACAGCTGGTCGCCGCGCAGCCGCCGCCGCGGAAAGCAAAGCGGAAACTGCCCGAAAAAGCCTCAACGCCGCCTCAAAAGGAGAATTAAATCCGCAGTTTTCGAATTAAATATAATTCAAAAACAAACAAATGAATAACGCGCAAGAAGAGTGAAGGAATGCGGCGGCGGCGGCATGCGCTGCGGTGTACGTACACCCCGGATATTCAAATTCCGAAAAACTCGCCCCGGAGGCCGCAGACGCCGAATGAAAGGCATTAGGGGTTTATTTTAATTCTTTTCTTCATTTATTTTGTTTTAAAACCCATTATGGACGGCAGTTCCTTCGCAGCGCCTCTAAATTCCCTTTCTGCTTTTCTGGACCGAGAAAATGCGGAAGACGAAATGCCCACGCCGGTCTGTATGGACACTGGGGTGAGGACTTTTCCCGGACCATTTGTTTCATTGAGGTGTATGTACACTCCAATTCATTTATTTGTGCGCTGCAAAGGCACAATTTGAGGTGTATGTACATTCCAATTCATTTATTTATGCGCTGCAAAGGCACAATTTGAGGTGTATGTACACTCCAATTCATTTATTTGTGCGCTGCAAAGGCACAATCTGAGGTGTATGTACACTCGAGCTGGCGTATTTATGGGCTGCAAATGGACCGTTTGAGGTGTATGTACACTCCAATTTAAGTCCTTACGCGCTGCAAATGGACCCTTTGTTTCACTTGAGGTGTATGTACACCCCAACATTTGAGGTGTACGTACACTCGAATTTAACTTTTGAAATAGCAGTTTGAATTAGTTCTGCATCTCCCACTGAATAAGTTTGCATTTGGAATTAAGAACTTCACAACTTTGTTTTTTGAAACAAAAAAGAATAAATAAAAATAAAAATGAAATTGGAAACATCAACTTTTGTTCTTCATTTCTTATTTGCTGTTGACATTTGTTTTCTCTTTCTTGAGCGTTTATTCGTTTTTCATTTATCATTTATTTATTTATTTATTTATTTATTTATTTATTTGTTTGTTTTATTCATTTCATCAATCTATCTTGTCTATTTATTTATTTATTTATTTTATTTATTTGTCTTCAGTTAGTCTGAAAATTAATTTCTCCTTTTTGTTTATTTGCTTTTCTCGATTTGTTGTTTTTCACAACTTTTTAAAATGCTTCAGGATAATTAATTAATTAGCTGAACAATATATTGAATTAATTAATTCAATTATTAAATGATTTATTTAATTATTTATTTATCTTTTTTAAATTAAATAAAATTAATTAATTTATTTATTTATTTTATTTATTTGTTTTTACAGGCCCTGCGGTCGGGAGTCTTAGAAAAGGCGTCGAAGGCAAGACTGGCATTTTAAAAAAGTTATTTATTTTATTTTATTTAAAATAAAATAATTTAAAAACTTTTGTTTTATTCAAAATAAAATAAATAAAAAGCTTTTATTTCATTTAAAATGGGTAAAAGGTTTTTATTTGATATAAAACTTTTATTTGGAATAAAATAGACAAAAATCTTTTGTTCAAGATTTAATAAATAGAAGGCTTTTATTATTTCTTTCTCATTAATTTTAATATCTTTTTAATTATGCTTTTAATTATCTTTCAATTGTCCTTTTAATTATCTTTTTAGAGTCCTTTTATTTCTTTTTATTTCTTTAAATTTTTTTGTTTTACTTAATTTCTTTTTTAATTAATTATTCTTTTTGTTTTTATTTTGCATGCACCACTAATGCCAAAAGCCCCAAAGACAGAAATTCGATTAGTGAATTTGATTTATTTTATTTGCATTAATTCGAAACAGAAAATAAAAAAATAAACAGAGAAACAAATAATAAATAAATTTATAACTAATAAATCAATAAATAAATAAATGAATAAATAAATAAATATATAAATAAATAATAAATAATAAATAATAATAAATAAATGAATAAATAAATAATAAACTAATAATAAATAAATGACAATAAATAAATAAATAATGAAATTCAAATAAAAAGCGAAGCATCAAACGCACAAAAAACCCGAAAAAAAGAATAAACAAAAAGCAAATCAAATAAAACAAATAAATAAATAAACAAACAAATAAATAAATAAACAAACAAACAAATAAATAAATAAACAAATAAATAAATAAATAATTTATTTATTTATTTATTTTTTATTTCAGGATGCTTCAAGTTGGAATTTGCGTCGGTGCGCTCTTCACCCCGAGGCGTTTTGGTATTCAAAAGAAGCAGCAAAAGTGGGATTTAAAATTAAAAAAATAAAAAATTAATTTTATTTTTTTGTTTTTTTAATTTAACTTTTTATTCTTTAATTGTTTTTTCCAGTTCTCTCCTCCTTTGCATGCAGCTCTTCGTCCCGCGTAGTTTGGTTATTTTATTTTATTTATTTGGTTATTTTATTTTATTTTATTTTATTTCAAAGTTTCAAAAATGGATTTTTAATTCGCATTTTTCTTCAAGTTTTCTTTTTTTCTTTTTCCAATTTCGTTTTAGTTTTGGTTTGTTTGTTATTTTGTTTTATTATTTTTTTTCTTTTTCTTTTTTTTTTCATATTTTGTTTCTCTTTTTTATTTCACATAACTGTTTCATGATTTTGTTTTTTTAATTTAATTTTGTTTACTTTTTTCGTTTATTTCTTTTCTTTTATATGTTTCTCTTCTTTTAAAAAGAGATATTTAATTTAAAATAAATTACTTTGATTTTATTTCTCATTATCCTTTGAATTTAATTTTATTTCTTTTTATTTTTTCCACTTTTTGTCTCCCGATTCATTAACTCCACTTCAAATTATTTATTAATAAACAAAGCTAATTAATTAATTAATTGATTATTTATTTAATTTTTGTTTGTTTATTTATTTATTTATTTATTTATTTATTTATTTATTTATTTTTATTTTTTATTTTCTTCAGGGGGCCCCCCAGCGGCCGCAGCAGTGGGCTTGCATTCCGCTGTCTTCTTGTGTGCAGGTGATTTATCTTTTTATTTATTTCTTTTTATTTATTTATTTTTATTTATTTCTTTTATTTCTCTCTTTTAATTAATAAATTAATTAATTAACGAATTAATTTTTTATTATTTTAATGAATTAATGTATTAATTAGTTTTTTTATTATTTCAATTAATTAATTAATTGGTTTGTTTATTATTTTAATTAATTAACTAATTAGTTTGTTCATTATTTTAATGAATTAATGAATTAATTAACTAAATAACTTAGTCTATTTAAATTACTTTAGTACATCTTCGAGGGCCTGGGCTTCTAATATATATATTTATTTTCATTTTTTCTTTTCAAGTCTTTTATTGCTTCTTTCAGTTCTTTTTTGTTTATTTTGATTAATTTAATTAATCTAATTAATTTAATCAATTAAATTAATTTGATCTAATTAATTTAATTAATTTAATTTAATTCGTTAAATTAAATTAATTTATTTTTGTCTTTTTGAAATTCCAGATCCTGAAAATTCCACAAGACAAAAGAGGCTTTCTTGTACAGACAGACAGCCGCTCTTACTACTGGCGCGTAGGCTTACAAACCCTAAACCCTAAACCCTAAACCCTAAACCCCAGAAGCTTAGCCTTACTGCTTCGCAGCTCCGTCAATTTGGACTTAGTGTTCTCTACATGACGCTGCAGAGCGCAGGAGGGTTTAGGGTTTGGCGTCTAGGGTTTAGGGTTTAGGGTTTAGGGTTTAGGGTTTAGGGTTTAGGGTTTGGGGTTTTCAGGCCCAGTCGCAGAATGAAGCGGAGGCGTGGCTGCTGAGCATTGGAAGTGAGTTGAAGGGAAAAAAGAGATAAATTGAAAAAAGAAAAATAAAAAGTAAAAAATTATAATTTTTAAATTTGAATAAATTAAAAAGAATAAAAAATGAAAATTCAAAAGTTTAATTCTTTTTTATTTGAATAAATGAAAAAGAAATTAGAAAGTCTCTTTTTGTTTTAATTCATTTGCAACTCTTTTTCTCGACTTTCGCGTTTTCCCATTTAATTCATTTTAATTTATTTCTGCTTTATTTCATTTTTCTTTTAATTATATTTCATCACAAAATGGTTTAAATTAAACAATTTTTTGACTTTAAAGGTTCATTTTTTGCGCATTTTCAACAATTTGATTCTCGCTTTTGCTTGCATTTCATTTCATCTCCAGTTTCCCCTTTTTTGAATTTATTTTTAATTTTGAATTTATTTTTTAATTTCAAATTCTTTTCTCCATTTCCAATTCAGCGCAATGCGCAGCAATGAAGGAAATGGAATTGCTGCGGCAGGCGGAGGCGCGAATTGCTGCAGCGCAGCAGCAGCAGTCCGAGACTTGTGTGAGAAAAGTCCCAAAAGAAAACAAAAACAAATAATACTTTAATAATAATAATAATAATAATAATAATAATAATAATAATAATAACAATAATAACAATAATAATAATAATAGTGGTTTTATTTCCTTTTAAATGGCATTTAAAGCTTGCAAATGAGCTGTGGAAAGATGAAAGTTGAAACGGAGTTGAGGTTTTGGCGGCTTTGCAGAAAAAGTGAAAAAAGCGGGAAATTGGAATCAATAAAGCGGCAATAAGAGTTTATTTGTTGAAATTAAATAAATAAATTCGTTTTAAATAATTTAAAATGAAAAAAAGCGCCAAAAGAAGAGAAATTGGCGAAAAGTTTTGTTCGCGAAGTGGAAGCTGAGGTGTACAGACACCTCGGCGCCGTTCAACTTCCGCCCCCTGGCTTTTTTTTGGTCATTTTTAATCATTTTTGGCTCATTTTTGTTCCCTTTTTTGCCTTTTAGGGTTCTTGTTGTTGAAGTCTTTGATTTTAAAATCATTTTTTCCATTTTGTGGCGTTTTCTGCTTTCTTTTTGCAGCTGGAACTGCTGCTTTCGCTGCACCGCCTCGACGGCGCTCTTTGCTACGGCGAAACGCGGAGGCTGCTGGAGGGATTTGCTGCGGATTATTTTGCAAACAAAATAAACAAAATAAATAAAATAGATAAAATAAATAAAATAGATAAAATAAATAAAATAAAAAATGAAATAAATGAAACAAACGAATCAAACGAAGTCCATGAATTCAATTGCCGCAGCTGCGCGGCAATGCCAGATGGCCAAACTCTCCCACAACAGAATCTCTCCCAAGTGCAGCTTCAAAAGCCCCTAGGTAAACACTAGCAGCAATTGCTGCTGCTGCTGCTGCTGCTGCTGCTGCTGCTGCTGTTGTTGCTGCTGCTGCTGCAGCGGGTTTCGTTGCTGGTGGTATTCCTATTGCTGCAGCAGCAGCTGCTGCTGCTGTTTCTGCCGCTGCTTTTTGCTGCCGTTATGTTGTGGACTGCTGCAGCAGCAGCTGCTGCTGCTGCCGTTCCTGCTGCTTCCGCTGCTGCTGCTATTTGCACTGCAGCAGCAGCAGCAGCAGCATCTGCTGCTGCTGCTGCTGCTGCTGCTTTATCTAAAACAGCACTACTGCCAATTTCGGTTTTGCTGATTGCGCATTAGCTGCTTCGAATTTTTTATTTTCGTAAATACTCTCACTTACAACTAATTAATTAATTTATTATTTATTTATTTATTAATTTATTATTTATTTATTTATTTATTTATTCATTTATTTATTTATTTATTTATTTGTTTGTTTGTTTGTTTATTTATTTATTTGTTTTTAGGGTTTACAGCAGATGAAGTTATTCATTTCATTCGAACTTTTTCCGCCGAGAGGGAGGCGAGCGAAAAGAACCAAAGTACTTTTAAATCTTTTTAATTTAATTTAATTTAATTTAATTTAATTAATTTAATTTGATTTAATTTGATTTAATTTAATTAATTTAATTAATTTAACTAATTAAATTGATTTTAATTTAATTTGATTTAATCCGATTTGATTTGATTTGATTTAATTTTGTTTATAAAATTTAATTTATTTAATTTATTTAATAAAAAAGAAATTAATGAAATTATTCATTAAATGCCTTTAGTCTTCATTTGACTTTTATTTCCTCTTTGTTTTATTTTCAAACTTTCTTTACTGCATGCAGTTGCTCTTCATTAACTAAACCCTAAACCCTAAACCCTAAACCCTCGCTTAGCTGCAGCAAAGCCTCAAGAAAGAGAGGCCTTCAGCTCTAAACCCTAATCCCTAAACCCTAGGCGCTAAAGCTTAAAGCTGAGACTCTAAACCCTAGCGCTAAACCCTAAACCCTAGGCAGTAAACCCTAGATGGTAGGGGCTAAACCCTAAACCCTAGGGACTAAACCCTAGACCCTACTCGCCAAACCGTAAACCCTAGGCACCAAACCCTAACCCTAAACCCTAGGGACTAAACCCTAAACCCTAGGCGCGAAACCCCAAACCCTAGAGGCTAAACCCTGAACCCTAGGCGCGAAACCCTAAACCCTAAACCGTAAACCCTAAACCCTAGGTTGTGTGGCTGCTGCAGGCATCTGGAGCTGGCTGCGTTTGAGTTTATTTCCTCTTTTTATTTCTTGTGAATTTGTGAAGAAGAGAATTGCCCAAGTTGCTGCTGCTGCTGCTGCGGGCAGTTGGGGGTTGGGAAAAGAAAATAAATAAAATAAATGAAGTTTATTTCCACTTTTTATTTATTTATTTATTTCTAGGGTTTGCAGCTTCTTTGTTTTTTAATTCTGCTGCTGCTCCTTCAAAGGGCCCTTTTTTGGTCCTTTTCTTTTCCGGTTTTTTGTCCTTTGTTTGGCGCTGCTGCTGCTGCTGCAGCAGCAGCAGCAACTGCAGCAGCAGCAGCAGCAGCAACTGCAGCAGCAGCAGCAGCAGCAGCAGCAGCAGCAGCAGCTGCAGCAGCAGCAGCAACTGCTGCTGCTGCTGCTGCTTTTGTCCTTTTGCTCTTCTTTGTGGCCGCGCATGCAATGGAAAAAGATTTGATGAATGAATTTGCATTTGGTTCAAAAAGTGGAATTATTGAAAAGCATTTATTTTGATTTAAATGCTTTCGAGTGTCTAAACGTTTTGTGAATTTCCGGAAATTAAATCAAATGTTTATTTAAACAATTTGTTTTGTCTTCGAGGAAATATAAACAAATAAATAAATAAATAATAATTAATGTTTAAATGCCTTTTCTTTTCAAATGCACGCTTCATCTGAAAAAGAAATAACTAAAAATAAATTCCATTTTCTGCTCGCGCGAAAAAGAACTCAAAAGGAGGCCTTTGCAAGGCCGAGAGGACTTTGTCTTTTTCGAACTTTATTTATTTCATTTATTTATTTATTGTTTACTATTTATTTAATTATTTATTTATTATTTATTTACTTCCATCTGTTTGCACTTGCTGTCCTCAGTCCATTCTTTTCCTTTTTATTTATTTCCTCAAATTCGCATTTATGTTTGTCGGTGTTCATTCGGGTGTACGTACACCCGGCAGCCCCGGGCAGCCGGGCAGCGGCATGAAGAGTTAAAACGGCGAAGAAGTGCCAAAAATAATAAAAAGAAATAAAATAAATGAAATAAATAAATTTAAAGAGGAAAAAACGAATTAAATGGCAGCTGCAGAGGCCCTTTTGCAGCTCTGCGCTTCTCCCAGGTGTCTGCACGTACACCCCAGGTGTCTGTACACCCGAAACAGAGCCGCTTCCTCGTCGAAACGAAAGAAAAAGGATTTATCAATCCTTTTGCTTTTAAAAGCCCACACTTGAATATTTTTTATATTTTATTCTTAATTTTATTGTTTTCACTGGGAACTAAATGTCCTTTTCTTTTTCTCTTTTTGCCAGCCTCTCCGGTGTACGTACACCCGGAGATCTAAACAGTTGGCCTGCACTTCTGTCTGCTGTCTATACACTCACTATATGCATATAGGAATCTATCTTGAGTACATTAGATCTATCTATGAATACATTATATCCATATCCATATATAAATATATGTACACTATATACATAATATTTATTCATGTGCTATTTATATGCTATTTATCTATTCCCTTACCCATATAACTCATATAAATCAATGTATGCATATACACGTATATATATATATATATCTACATAAATACATACACATATGTATATATACAATGTATACATATATATTAATATATATATATATATATATATATATATATATATATA